ACCCAGCTCTCAACCCAAAAACACGATCGCAACATGGCTGAGCACGGCAGCATGGGGGTGTTGGGGAGGAGCCCGGAGGCTCCAGAAACTTACAGCTCCTTGTCTGGGACCGCCGGTGCCAGGGCCATCATGGCTGCTGAGGGCCACCGCCGCCATCGCACTCAGGCGTTCCCCTGCTGCCAGCCACACAGAGCCTTCTTCCCCGGGCTGCTCATCCGCCCGTGCCTCCTTTGCAGTTCTCGGTTGCGTTTCTGTACCATCACGATAGCCACGAGTCTTTCACTGCAGCTCCTCAGGTGTTTTGGAGAGGAAAAAGGTGAGAGCAGAGACACAGACAAGCTAGGAAAAGGCGATGGTGCTCACTGAGGTGATTTTCCCTCACCAGCACAAGCCCTGCTGGAAGGGGAAGCCCCCAGGAGGGAGGCTGGGGCACGCTCCTCAGGGCCGCTGCGGCCATGCTGAGGGGTCGGTGCTGTGGAGAGGTTCGACACAAAATGGCTGCTACTGCCCACCCTGGGGAGAGCGCTGCCCTGAGGTCTAACACGGTATTGCTGCCTGCCTCCCGGTTTCCCACCCTTTTAAAGTAAATTTCACACAGAGGTCACACAAATAGCTGTTTAAACTTGAGCGTGGCCCCAGGAAACGGCCACATTTGGTGCTTCATCGTGGTGTCACTAGCTAAGCCACGTGTGGCACTCTGGACTCCATCCGCCACCCAGACAGCCATGGCAGCCCTCAGCACCTGCTTACTCCTTCACGGCACGGCAAGCCCCCTCAGTGCAATACCACCCAGCACACCGCACAGCCATTTCCTTCGTGCCATGTTCTTGCTATGGTGTCTCCCACCCAAATTTCAGGCACTGCCTGGGCTGGGGATCCAGCAATGACCTCGTGGCAGCTCTGGACAGCCTCCCTGCTGCCTGTCCTTTGGGCAGTGGAGCAAGAAAGCCAAAAGACAAAGCCAGCAAAAGGGGAACTCTGCAGCTGGAACAGAGGAACTCAGAAGAACGGGACGTGGAGGCTGGATGGGATCTCATGAGCAGAGACACAGACTCCCTACCTACTGAAAGTTTCCTCACCCGTCCTCTCATCCGAAATTACATTTAGCCTGCCCAGCACTCTGACCTCAAGCATGATTAAGAAAAAGATTTGAGGAAGCAAAGGAGCAAACGGCACGAAATCCAGAAGAAAGGCCACTTTCACACACTTTCCGAGCAGCCCAGAGCAAGACTGTGCCAGTCGGCTGCAGATAGAAATGTGTTGATTAGCTGAACTATTTACATGCCTTCACAACACTGCAAATAGCCTGATTTGCTCACATAAAGGATAAAAAAAGAAAATAACAGCCCACAAATAACCTGGTTACCTTGGAAATGTGAGCACCCAAATTCAGATGGTGGCAGGAAGAGTCTGCTTTCCCACCTGCGTCTCCAGGTGACGCAAGAGCAGGCAAGTTCAGAGCTGCAGAGGTTGACTTACATCATGCTCAGAGCGTGTTCAATGCCACACCAAGAAATAAGGGCCTAGGAGAGGGGTAAGGGTAGACGCAAACAAGGGAAAGAAGATACAGCTAACCCCAAAGCCCCTTCCCGGAGCTCATATCCTGCTTGCTGGGCTCCCAATGATGCCTCCACCACCCCTCACACTTCCCTTCTGCAGTTGTTTGGGGCACATCTCCCCTGCCTCTGCATTGTCTCTCTGTCATTGTCTGTGACCACAAGTAATCCTCACCGCACTGCCCTGGGAACCTACTATTTGCTCCCCTGTTTCACAAGATACCAAAGAGTCACCCTCATACTCAGGATATACCTGCTCTCCTTGTCCTTCCCTCTCGGGCTGGGATGAGCAGCCAGGCTCTGCCAGGCAGCACAGAGGGAAGCAGGATGGGATGTGCTATGCAGATGGCTGCTGAAAGAGTTCAAAACCAGCTACCTGGGCTTCCTGGTAGGGAACGGCAGAAGTTTAGCTCTACCTGTGTTCAGAGCTTTGTGTTTTTTGCCATGGCTTGAAACAGAGGGAGAACCTTTTTGAAAGCACCTGAGAGCTGTGGCCCCTCTATAACTGTTCAAATCAGAGAGGTGAGATAGAGTCATCCATGGGGAAAAAAAAAAGAAAGGTAAATTCCCACTCATACTACCTGAGGGCTTGTGGCATCACAAGTGAAAACCCAGGGCCAGCAGATCTCTGTGCCTGTGCAGGAGATTACCTGGGTTTGTAGAGCAGAGCACCACAGAGCATCATGCAAGCGGCTTGTCTGGAACCAACGGGTTAACCAAGGAGCTTCTCCCTGCTGTGTGTGGGAAGCAGTATCTCCTTGCCAAATTCCACCGATCTGAACACAACCAGCTTTCTCACTCAGCCCGTGCTCCTACGCTCAGCTAGTGCTCGTGCCCGCCTCTGCAAGGGAGTGTAGACAGGCCCCATGCTCTCTTCTAACTGTAACTTTCTCCAGCATTGCCCCTTTCCTGATGTCAGTTCTTGTCTCCTCACTAAATTACAGGACATCAGGTCTCCACGGAAACCCCTCTGAGCCAAGAAGCACAATGCAAGACATTCACTTATAAAACACTGATGGCTGAGGACCAGCCAGGCTGGCTGCTCCCTGCTGTCAAGACCAGGAAGCTTGGAAAAGGCTCCTTTGGGTCCTGGGGGAAAGAGCACTTGCAGGAGGCAGGATGGTTTTCAGACAAGCCACCTCCTTCCTTTGGCAACAGGGCTTTGGATCAGTGGCAGAATGCTCACAATAGAGGCGCATCTCCCAGGAGCAGGTACCGTGAGGGAGCTGCCTGCTGAGGAGCAGCCTGGCAGCTACCTGCACACCAGCTCTTCCACCCAGACAGGCACAAATAGCAGCTGTGTTGTTCCAGCCAGCCACCACTCCGCTACTGTGCAAGCGTGCTCACACAGCTAATGCTAACTGCCAATATCCTGTTCCACACCTTAGCAGCGAATCGTAAGAGGAAATCAGGTGGAAGCAAATATAGCCATACACCTGACAGGCTGCTCTGTGCTCCTCCAGTGCACAGCCAGCCTCCAGCATGGCTTCACATCTTCCTCAAGAGCTACTCTACCATGTAATTACAGGGGAAAACATAAAGGTTTTCTTTTCCCTGCATAACAGGTAGATTTTCATTTGTTGAACCACAAACAGGCCTCTAAATCAATATATAGATTCCCATCATGCAGCCAAGGAATAAACAAACAAATTCTCCCACACACGAACGCTCCCTCGCCTCCTGTTTCAGCCTCTGACCACTGACCCTGCTCTGCAACAGACTCTGCACCCATCAGCCTGAGCTCCTCCTGGATAAAACTAGCCATCCTTGGTGCTCAGACCCTAGCATCAACACAAAGACACACTTTGAGGAACGGAACAGATCGTAATTCAATTTCTTGCCATTTAGGTTAAAAAAAGGAATGCTGGGGTTGGGGGGGATGGATCTACTTCTGCTTAGTCCTGCCCAGCTACCAGCAGGTGTAGGAGGCCACAGCTCCCTTAACTGGGCTGCTTGGAGCCACATTTCACCCTAAAGCAGCCTCACCAGCCCCTCCGGGTTTCCCCCAAACTGCTTGCACCCACGGCCCAGGAGCCCATGCACGACACTGCGGCCAGGGGCTTGGCCCCCCAACCCGAGGATGAGGGGAGGGATCTCCCGCTCTCCCCGAGACCCAGAAGTCACCAGGTGGCTGCCCGCTAGGCCACGACTTCTTGCTTTCCCACTGAAAGAAAGTCTGCTATCACAACAGTTGTGGGCAAGGCCCTGCCATGCCTTTGTAGGCCACGCTTAAACAGCGAACAAAAGTGTCTTTAGTTTATCTGTTTATTTTTGGCGCAGAGGAATGGCTGGGGTCAAAGTCGGTTCCATTCTCAAGCTGTTCTTTGTTCTCCGGTTTATTCAATACCCCATATCCCTCTCCTCACCCTCCCCTTCTCCATTTTACCACAGGTCTTAAAAATTAAGCTGTGCATGAAACCAAACACCACACTTGAACACCGCCCAGCAAATGCTCTTCATGGTCACAGAAGAATACTAATCGACCATAAGAAAATGGCTAAGAGCAGCGTGCCCTTATAAGGGCAGAGGCTAGACAAGCATCTGACACAAACAGAATCTTTAAAGAAAAAATAATATTTATTTGCAATATAAACAAAGTCCCAATATTGGATCAGTATATATAGGGTCACTAATTTTCCTTCATAACTCAGAAAGCAGAACCATTCCTCACTAACAAGCTCTCATTTGTACTAATCAGAGGATGCATCTTTGTTTTTTCTTTAAAGGAGAAAGACCACTAACAGCACAGGAAGCCTTTACAAACCAGCTTAGCTGCAATGCAATACAGATGCACTGTCAAAAAATCCCTGAAAAAATAAATTCCTCCATGAGGTAAGATGCAATTAGGATATTCTCAAAATTTTCTCACTCGCAACCGTACTTACGCCCATTCTCCCTTCCTATGACCCACGATCCCAACGTTGTTGCAAACAAAACCCAACGAACAAACAAACAAACAATAAACAACCGGAAAACAAGAAAGAAGCTCATTCCAACATTCTGATAACATCTTTAACAAAAAGAACGGTTTCAGGATGCGACAGCGTCAAACATTCCTCCAGATGGAGATTTTTTTTAATTATTTTCTTCTTTTTCTTGAAAAAAGTACAAAAAACTGGATATATAGAAAAAATCCGTGGCTTTTTTTTTTTTTAAGTTACATGAGAGTTAAAGTGGACAGGGAGGGGGGAGAAAGGAGGGACTACATTGCAGCCAATAAAGAAACCTCCAAATCCATTCTGCCCTCCTCCCAGAAATTATTACCACTTCCTCCCCCTCCCGGCTCGGTATAAGGTGTTTGCCAAACACTAGCCAGAAATATAAACAAGTCTTCTCAGAATAGAAGGCACAGCATAAAGTTATTTGAAAGAGGAAGAAAAAAAAAATCAGAACCTCTGTTGAAAGCTCCAATCATCTCCGAATTTGCCAGTTAATATATATATTCATATATATATAAAAAAATTCTGTTACAACACTCTTGTCATCATTTCCACATCTCTTCACTCCCCTCACGTGCTCCGTGCGTGACGATTCAGTCCCGTCCCGCTACGCACTCCTCTCTCTGCTCCAGGCGCTCGCTGCGTTACCCCCTCTGCCCCGCGCACGTGGGAGAGAATCCAGCGGGCACGAGAGACGCCAACATCACAACTACCTTCTGTACTCGGGAAGCTGGAATGGTTTCGGGCCAGCTGGATGGCGTTAAGTCAGTCAACAGGCAGCAGAGAACGAAGCTGGGCTCAGACATGCTTCTACCAACTCTGGAGGCTACAAGAGTTTTACCTCTGGCAACAGCAAACAGTGTTTTTGGCAGGGGTGGCATTAAAAAAAAAAAAGCTTGCGGCTTAGTCACCTTGGCTGAATCAGTGCAGAGTTTGTGATTGTGAGTGCAGGAGTGGTGAAGGGGTTGCGTTTAAGCCCAACTGGCCTTCACACATTAACAAAGCTTCCTACCAGATGCTAACGACAACAGCAGCAGCATGTATCTCTCTCCGGAGTACCCAGTAATATGCCAGGACATACCAAGGCTTCACGAAGTGTGCAAAATGCATTTGGTCAATATAAACATTTGATTAAAAAAAAATAATAAATGATCAAACAAGAAACAGAATAAAATACTGGTTTTGCAACCTCGTCTGTACAAACAGTCAGGAACTTACATATTTTAAAAGTTTGAACCCAAAGCTCGAGTAAGATCTACCTTTTTTTTTTAAAATCAAAAAAGTAAACTTGGGTTTTAAAACAGTCTTGGCCCAAAACCTTTTGTTCAAGGTTTCCAAGTGCATAAATCTCCTCGCTTTCCACAGCGAGCTAACCCCGGTAGCTCTTCATGTGTGTGCGCGCTCCGACAGTCCCAATGCACCCAGGAAAGCGGTTATTGCCGGTAACAGCTGCGTTCGCAACGCCGTAACATCGCCCCCATTAAATAACCCCCCACAAAAAGACTACCTCTTCAAACCACTTTGATCAGGACGCTAATGAACGGCACGAGCCTCCTTAAAGCAGCGACCAGGCACCTCTGCGCAGAGAAGCTAGTCGTTTCAGAGCTGCCTGGCAAGACAGATACTGTTGTAAGAGTTGAAATGCTCAAGAGAAGCGATTCGGTGCTCGAGTTCCCGGCCAGGCGGCATCCCCTTCATGTGGACTCCAGAGTGTTCAGCTGAAACAGGTTGTGGTTGGTGGGGGTGGTGAAGTAGAGCTGTTCGCTGGGCGAGCGGTTGTCGCAAGGGCTGTTGAGTCCCAGAGTCCTCTCAAAGTCCAGGAGCTGGCCCATGAAGTTAAAGTTTGGGGAAATGTTGGATTTTTTCCTTTTCACAAAGTCATAAGCATCGTTCAGGGACAAGTTGAGTTTTTGCATCAAGTAGGCGACAGTGACCGTTACGGACCGGCTGATGCCAGCGAGGCAGTGAACAAGGATCCCACACTTCTTGGAACGGGCCTCATCTGAAACAAGACAAGGGGAAGGGGGAGTCCATTACTCTGCACCAAAACGCACGGCTTTGGAGCAGGGCCAGGTGGCAGCTGCAAGCTCCCAGGACCAGGACGACTGCCAGAACTGGATCCCCTGCTCCTGGTGACACCACCTCGTGTCCCTTTGATGCCCACATCTCTCCCCAGAGGGCTCCCGAGATATTCCCACTGCACGGCAAAGCTGCGCATCCCCGTTCCGCACAGCAAAGCTGAGCGTCTCGCGTGCTTGAGAAGTATTAATCAAGTCTGGCAACACGTCCCTTGCCCAGGGAACATCGGCACCCTCTGTTCAAACAGCGAAACGGAGTAACCCACAAAAGGCAGGTGGAGCTGGCATCAACAGCTCCAGGGAGATGCTGGCGGTCGGGCATAGCTCACCACCGACTAACTGGGGAAGGCTGTGTGCCTGATGCGAGGCTGCAGCCCGGCACCAGGCAAGCTGCTGCTCTTGTCCTCCTTCCACTAAGAGGTTATCTGAATGTAGTCAAAGCCAATTTAAGCCGAGTCTGAAGTGCAGGAACTTCCCTTATTGTGAAATCGTTCTTTAGGATCGACAGAAACGCACTTCACTACAAACAAATGCTTGTGTTG